AACCATACAGTTTGTGGGCCTCTCGCAACTGGATGAAACTTAATGCTAAAAAGTGTAAGGAGGTTCGAGACTGTTTCTTCAGAGAGAAACCCCTGTTATCTCTAGTTATTTAGACAGTAAGTGGTCGAGCACTTGAAACAGTTTGCTCTCATAAAGCGCTTGGACTAAACATCCAGAATATGATGATTTAAAATGGAACGAAAGTATCGTTTCGATAGGTGTTCTCGCTGCTGACCTTATGGCCATTTCATGAACATTTCATTAGAAATTCGAAAAGTTGTTTTTTTTTTAGTGTAGAACAGAACGTCCGTTAAGAGAAGTTTTTTCCTTGTTCTAACTTTTTAAATTTCCTATTTGTAAGATATCACATTAGTTATTCAGTTTCTCATCCTAGTTGTTTTAGTTAGTCATCGATAATTAGTAGTAGTAGCTGATAGATAGTGTAACGATAGTGATTTAATAAAGCCGTACCTACTAAACTGAGTTCAAACCAATCTGGCATGCATGGTTGATCATGGCTTGTACCAGACAACTTGTGTAAGACGGTATTTATTTGCTACTTCAGTCGCGGTTGAATTATTATATAGCTATTGCTTTACCCTCGTAAAACAAGTAAGATTTGTTCTTTGTTTTTTATTTCCTTTCTGTTTTACGTACAGTTATGTTTAACACTTCATTATCTAGTTATCTAGAGGTTGCATGCTGCTGACCGTCTTCTTTTCTCCAGCAGTATTGGGATTCAAACTGGAAAATGAAAAATGAAAACATTAATGTTAACAATTTTAACGATAGGTAAAGATAAGGATGATCGATCTGCTTGCTGCCTGCCTGCCTGCCTGCCTGCCTGCCTGCCTGCCTGCCTGCCTGCCTGCCTGCCTGCCTGCCTGCCCTGCCTAGATACGTACAAGAATTTTCAATAATTCACAAACCTGCATCCATGCATTCGTGACCACAGCCATTAAAACAGCACAGTTGTCCGTAAGGACACCCACTGCCACAAAGTTCGGCACAAAGACCAATACCCGGTTTTGGGCATGACCCTGTGCGCTTCCTCTTCAAAATAGTATCAATAAACCTGTCTAAAAAAAGGATAACGAATTCTGAGTATTGGGGAAATGGGGTATATAGATCCTAAACGGTAGAACCGTCATGTATTATCGATACAGCAGTACATTTATAATGACATTACTAAATTTTAAGAAAAGAAACAACGCATTTCAGTTTTGTAGACATGATTCAGCATCATCCTGTGGTTTCTTCAGTGCAAAACAGAATGAATATTGGATTTCTTTTACAAGTTAAGTTAAGCTAACTTTGAATAACAAGTAAGAAGAACAATTCTTTGAAACCCCGCGGTAAAACACATTTTTAAAGCTGCCGAATTTCTGTATAGCATCCATTAATAAGCTTCGTTCCTGAGAAGAATTATTATAACGCTTCTGCTCTCAAGACTTATAAGAATTCGAAACATTACTATTTATTTGGCAAGCACTACCCTGGRTTCCAGAGGTTCCATCTCAAAATAGCAAACGCCGAWGCGAGCATAAATAACTTCTGGACCCCAGGGTAGGCCGGCAACCACATATGAAGCCTATCGACTGTTTTATTCAAGATATCATACGTGACATACTGGATGTCTTACCTGGTTGGATTGGATGAGCTTGAGTTGTGATGAAAAACTATAGAACGACGAAAAACAACAATAAACATACTTAACTTTCGTCCTTATTTAGAACACATGTTATTCTCTTGATTATTGTTCCTTTCTTTACCAACAACATGTTATCATCCTCAAAAAGAATATAATTATCTTTAGCCAACACACCAAAAAAGATTTTTTTCGTCATGTTTAAAAATAATGACCCTTTAATGTAAAATCTGTTGCCATAGTTTCTCACCTATTTCTATGCCATTTTTCTTATTTGTAATATAGCGGTTGCTTGGGTGATGAAGTGCTTATAAAATAAGACCATTCACGGCCCTATTAATTCTTATTTATAATCATCATTAATGAAAATACGAGTCAAAATCTTGATGACTTAATGGGCTTTGAGTGGCTGAGATATTTATTTACATCATGATTATTCAATATTATATTTTGAATCGTTTTGCATGTGATCAGTAACTATTTCGAGACACTCAACTTATTCATTAATTTTCTTAAATAGATATTTCTAAAGATCTTATAGTCGAAGTCGTGATTCATTTATTTTAATATTTCAAAGTTTGTCGTCTCTGTCTTGAAAATTGTTGAAATTTTCAAAACTCTAAACAAACGGTTCAATCCCTGATAATGATCTATGTTTTATCCTTTTCACACCAAGTGCAAAACATGTTTTTAAGTGGTTTGACTAAACGGGTTTTCATTGAAAATTATCAACAAACACAATACAGCCTTTGACTCAAACCTGCTCATATCTGTCCTTTATATATATGTTGCACAACATAAATTTCAAGGTGGTTTGACTCTTGTGAAATTTAGAGGCTCGCATATAAAAGATAGAATCTAGAGTAAACAACTTTTGGTGTGAATGGAGTGATGGGTATTCAACAATTGCCCGTTTTAGAGACGTGGCCATGGTAGTCAATATTTGTTCTTAATATTCTTTATATGCGCTAATGAACCAATTCTTTCTCGACCATATATCTTTAAATTATGAAGCAGAAGCTAGCTGCCGTAGCAGTAGTTAAACAAAGGATGCCTTTTAGGGATACTTTCTACTAGATTACAACTTTACTTGTCGTACACTTTTAACGACTCAGTTTATGTACTGCAGCAAGACCGTCATGTATAAATATAGAATACGCCCTTTTGCTTTGAAAAAATGGCAATGCGCTATCTATGACAAACGTATCTTTTGCCAATACATYTGATTGTATATTCTTAATGAATCCCTTGTAATGATCATGAAGTTTTTCTTACCATCACGATAAGAATGCCAATACCAAGAAAAGCAGATTTCTTCATCGTCTTTATCAGTTGTGGAGTCAATCGCAGATAATCGAACAATTCAGGCTCAAAAGACTTGCTAAATCAAAAGACACAGTATCCTGTCTCTCAATCGCTATTTTAAAGCTATTTAAAGGACTTTTGATTCTTGACTGATTGATTGATTTACGTCTCTCAAATCGCGTGGCGTCCCAGAATAAATAAATCGAGCTACAGCCAATAAACAATTTCTAATAATATGAGAACGATGATAGATTACTGGCTTTTGAAAATAACGAATCACAGTCAATAAAAAGATTGGTCAGCTAAGGTTTCTTTACTTTATGGCCATACATTTTCTTATAATATTACATCACAGAAACCTAGCTTGGGCTATACCTGTGATGATTTCTATGTTTTCTAAGGACGATGATATTTGATCGCGCTATTTGAGCGAGTCACAGTCACAGTCAGTAATGATTGGGAGTATCAAACATCTTAACTTAAAGACGCAACATTCAAATGAAGAAATATTTCACCATTCAACTATTTACTCAACTATAAGTTATAGAATCAATACTGAAAGAATTGTATCTTGGGTTAGGCCGTGCACTTTAAAGATGTACACAAGTCCCTGCAACCCCCCCACCCCACACACACACCCGGGTCAAAGGTTAAACTTATACTTCCTCATTTACGAGATTCCTCGCTTTAGCAATAGCCTAGTTTTTTTTGACTGAGTAATTAACTATTCACTACAATTACCCCGCTTCACTAGCAAYAACGAATATGATGAACGAGAAGATCAAATTTATTACAAACCCTATTTTWAAAATCTTTACCTTTACGTTTAGTACATTTGGATATTTAATAACCAAATCTTTCTCACAGTAAGAATTGAATTTAGTCAATACGTTTTTTGGCGCTATGTTTTAAATGCTGAAGCGAAATCTTGTTTTTCTTAGTTTTCCTTCACTGACTTTTGTATTCTTTAGAACAGATAACTAGCTAAAACTAGTGTGAGCTGCKTCGGACGCTAGTTCTTCGTCGGAGTAAAAGAAGGACTAGCGTTCGAAACGTCAGTAAGTTTTTTCATCTTTTCACGGTGTATAATTTACCGGCATTTATGTATTCTTTATATGATTATCGGCTCTATACTAATCATATTTWCCCCTCTCCTATATTTTTCACCTTTATACAGTAGTAGTTACTTAAGTATCTCTTGCTTGACGAGTCATTTCAGTCTCATGGTAAAATTGGCACGACCTACGGCTAAACGTCCTGTTTTTAACAYTGTCCCAGTAAGGTCAAGGTCCCTCGACGCTGTAGGTACAGTCTTATTAAAGATCAGAAGAAGACCGAAATTAAGCCAACTTATGGAAGTCTCTTCAGCATTAAGGATATTTATTGGTACAAAAGAATTAATTTCCTCGTTTGCTTGCTTCACTGGCAGCCCGACTCGGTATCTTTGATTCTAAAAATAGCATAAAACGGCTTCTATGATGGTTACAAGCATAAGYATGAATACCAARGGATACAGCATCCCGTCCTTTTACGATCGGAGACCCATTTTTCACGATAGGAGTTCCGTCCCCCCCCCCCCCCCCTGGAGGGGCTTGACCGTGTCCAACAGTAAGTAAGCTAGGATCTTCCAGAGAGATCAAGCAAACAAGGAACTAAATTCTTTTAACACTAACTATAATAAAGGGCCGTATGTTAGATCACTTATGGTTAATGCGTTTTCTCGTAAGCTGGGTCCAATTTCAGCCTTCTAGTTGAAATTGGAAACATACGGCCCTTTATTATAGTTGCATGTATTAAAAGAATTTAGTTCCTTGTTTGCTTGAACTCACTGGAAGATCTTAGTTTACCTTATGGCTTCAGGAAATGCCACAGACGTCAAATGTCTATAAATGTGTGAGACTAGAGATGTATCATCATAACCCAGACTAAAGTAGTCCAAGAAACAAGAAGATTGGATGCAACATGGCGTTTCTTATAAAATCCTCATTGGTAGCTGTACTGGTGTTCGTGCTCGTGTACCCACAACAAGCTGATGCAGAAGAACCGATTGGTTTAAAGCTGTCTTCATTCGGTCCAAACCACATTCAGGGCGAATATCGCTACACTGAATCATTTGGACTTCAGTTCAACATTCGGCAAGGGTTTATGGAGATGAAGACCTTGAATGGTAATGAAACCATAACCATGTACATGAAGCTGCCAAGAGACACCGTCTACTTTCAGATTGGGAACAGCGGCTTTTTAAGGTAAAGGCAAAACAAACAAAACAAATCTTGGGTATTTCATTTGTTGAATTGCTGTACTTAAAAAGTAGTTTTTAATTTGACCATAAGCACCTACAATGTACATTTTAAAAAGTCTTTTCTTTCTCCTAGTAACAGACTCCATGATCCAACTTATAATCTTCCCAATTTCAATTACGCCTGTTATTCATTAGTTTGATTGTTTTTAGCTGGCATTAAACTCTGAACTGAAGATACATATTATTCATTTGATTTAATTGGATAGCTTAGCTCAATATATATTTTTCATTTCCTGTTCATTTTCAGTCATCTGAACAAGGAAGCCCTCGTGCCAGCAGAAGTGCCTAGGACATTCAAAGCATTGATGAGATTTGCAGCGGAAAGGTTCTCGACTAGTCCTAATGGCTTCTCTGATGAGGACACAACGCTGAAAGAAGCTCACAAACAAGCACTAGAGACAATCCGTGAAATGGAAGAGACTCGATTGCTGGAGATCTGCTCTAAAGCCCTTGCTCAAGCTGGAGGCTCGGGGCTGACAATGGAAATCACCCAGCCATACCACCTGATGAGCCTGAACCTACTCCTTGCTCTCGACAGGGCAGGCAAGCCAGTCGATGTTATTAAGCCTCCAGGGACACAAGACGAAGAGTCTACACATAGGTCTAAAAGGTAAGTAAATAGCTTGCATGAAAACTAAATRATTAATATATGAAATGGAAGCCTCATATTGACTTTAGGAAGCAAACAAAGATATATATATAGAAAACTGGAGTACATATATTCCATTTAGTTGATCATTTCTACAATGCTATAATCAAAATTCAATATGTCTTGTACTTCTTCAATTAGCTGAATGAATAAAATGAAACCATTTCGAGCCTTCAGTAAAGGACAGACACCGCCCTTCATGTTCATCCATGCATCATCCATCTAAAAAAACATGCCACTCAACTGGAAAAAATTCCAAACTAATAGATACCTTAGCAACCTGCCTCTGGTTTTCATTTTTTTTCTTCGCAAGAAGCCCGAACAGTCGCCTCTCTTTTTCAATATTAACCAGTTACATAGCGATCATGGATGGGTGCTTACCATTTGTCCGGAAAAACCGGAAAYTCCGGTTAGGAAAACAAAGAGTGTRTGTCWTSCCGATCGAAACGGTTCYGGAAAACTYGATCTTAGGCAATCCACTTTTCCCGCTCTTTTCGGTTCTTCCRGTAGACGCGTGTATCATTTGTCAGAAGCAAAGTTTCCCGCTCTTTTCGTRCCATTAGCAAACGAATTTCCAACCGGATGGATTGGTTTAAATGATAAGCACCCCTGGTCAGCTTACATTCCTTTGAAAGTGACTGCAATCTACCTTGTACTGAGACGTGCATTCTTTTTTCGTGAGAATAAAACGACCAGGCCACCATGTAGGTTGAGATAACAAAAGAAACCAAGATAAATTTGTCTTCAATGTCAACCAAGCTGTGACGTTAAACGGATAGATCAACTAACCTTTCTCGTTATTCTATATAGGTGCTCCAACCTCCGAAGTGACCCAAACAATGATGACTGTTACGGTATGTGTGGGAGAAAGTGCAACTGTTGGTCGAGTGTGTGTGGTGACTGCTGTTACCACCAAGGATGTGCTGAGCATGATTACTGCTGCGGAAAAAACTTCTGGTCGAGATATTGTTTGTTTCCGTTTCGGTACAAGTTTACTTGCAGCAGCTATGGAGGCTACTCCAGTTGCTAAATGAAGTTCTTGTCTGTCGTGAAATAAATGAACCTAGTTTGAAACACATTGAAAAGTGCTCGCAATCTAATAAACCTCTTTAAATTAATTTGAGTCAATTTGCTTTACTATTTCATGTTATATGTCAATCCCTTGAAAACAAGATCCAAGATTCTTTCCCGCGGTTTATATTTAGTTGTCTGCTTTAGCTTTACTAGAAAAACAAAGAAATGATCCTAAAGGGAATGCATATGATACTTTCAGAATGTGACAAAATTTATAATAAACACTTTACTAAGTAACTAGAAATGCACAAGTAATTTTACAAAAATTCCGTCCAAGCTACAGGGATGGCGGAGCCGGTTGGGCTAGAGGATTTTATCCACCCCTCACCCCATTTATAACGAGAATGACGTCACCATATTTCAAGTTCTCTTGGTTGAGTTCCGTTATTAAAAAAAAAAACAGAGATTAACAATCCCCCTCCTAGTACTCCACATTAAAAAAAGTGCTCCGCCGTCCCTGAGCTAAAGAGATCCATTAGAAGAACACTTGTATTTTGTTATTCGTCTTGTTATGTTTTCAACGCACGCTGTTAACTTTTATTCTGTACTTTAAATTATCTACCACTTTTTAAGCTTTAGTTAAAATTCTTTTTTTTTAAATCACAGGGTAAAGCATGAAAAATAATAAAAGATTCATTAGAATTATTAAAACGTTTCGGTTTTTTTTTTAATTTTTTCCCTCTTCCTACGTCCTACATATCAGATTTCCTACGAGTGTTATATTTTTCTCTACTAATATCAACATTGACAGTTGAAGCACCAGTGAAACTGATGAGGCGGTGAAATATTATGGGCCCGCGAAAAAGTTGGCGAGAATTCTGTCGTGCTGTCTATACATCAACATATAATTGCATTTCGCGGGTTTCGGGATTCGATATATATTTTTGCCAAAGCTGGGAAGTCATAASGTACAACCCCAAATTAACATCTTTCTTCACCTTTGAACATCTGCCATTCCAGATACATAATTTGGTAATATCTAGCGGCAAGGAAAAGATTAAGCCAGGTTTTAAAGTCGACCCTGGTGATTTGTCAGGAATATTTCCAGTCGCTGTCCAGGTAATAAGGAGCCCTACAAGGAGATTATTGAAAAATCCAAGTTTCCCCTTGTGTACCTCAAAAGAACTTGTCCAGAATCGAACACGAAAACACATGATTTAGTTTAAAAATAAAATCCACCTTTCCCTGCTAGCAGAGTCTTCCTGKTTGGCGATCCTTGACATGAATCGCCAATGAAGGAGACTCTGCTAGCAGGGAATTAATACCTAGGCCAAGATATTCTTAATATTCCACGTAATTGATTGATAGGTGGTTGATAATCATTCAAATTAAATTTCGCAAAAAAAAAAAAAAAAAAAAAAAAGGTCGCCAGTTTGGGCACGAAAACACAGATCGAATTCAAATTTAGCCTTGCAATCACTTATTATGTATCTTTGCGACTTGTCATCAGTTTGATTTTATTTAAAAGTACTTGCGTACCTTCCTTAGTGATATTGATAAGAAGAGGATTCATTTGACGTCAACAGACCATCTGTCCTGTGAGCATGCGCAGTACAACCTCAAGGAGCAATTCATCACAGAAGAAAAATAAAGGCACAATATCAGTGTCTATAGAAATTCAAAGGATGAAGGAGTGAGTTTTTACAAACGGCGCTGCTGGGGCCAAATAAGAATAATTAAAAACCTTTCAACTGGTCCGGATAAGCCATTCAATCATCATAAGTAGTAACCATTCAAAGTGATTATTGTTCTGCACAAGCAGTTGTACTTACCAGGCCTAGGGCCGATACATGATTATGTAATTGGCTATTAGGAGAAGGGGGGGGCTTAAACCGCCGATATCAAGCGATGAAAGTAGATTTGTTCCAGGCTAACTTCGGGTTCGTAGTTGTCATTTAAGGGGTTCGATTACTCCAGCTGATCTGAGAGAAAATGTTAGCCAATCAGAATTGCGAAAATYTGCAAAACTGAGGTCACTTTTCCTCTTCAGTGAAAACACGATTACCAGGCCATCAAATGAACATTTGAGGAAGCTTCATGACACCTCATTGCAGTGACGTCATTTCTAATTCCCCGTTTCAGATCAGCTGCATGGTGGATGTTTGGCTGGTTCGAAAGCCCCCACCTCCGGATACGTATTGCTTATRTTCTTTCAAAACCGTTAACACAGTGAAGCTATATATACAGTCACGAAAGCAGACTTTAKTCATCACGGCATCACAGTGTGACCTTGGATAACGTTTTGAATAATTGTTCAAATATCRTGAGGCGACTAGCTTTTGGTTGAGAAAATTTGGTAGAAAAACGGACCCTAGTTTATGCTAATAAGCGCACTGACCAGTAAAARTAGATAATTTTTTTGGCAACGAAATGGCTAATAATACATCATCAGGAACGGATGGAGGGAAATTCCCTTTAGAATTATTTGCAGCTCCACTGGCTCTTTTTGGTATCGTTGGTAACTTGCTGGTCGTGATTGCCGTATGGAAAAAGAAAACACTCCGATCGACAACAAATTATCTTCTGGTTAACCGTGCCATTTCCGACGTCTTGAGCTTAATATTTCTTYCTCTGATGCCTATTCAGACATACGTGAGATTCAAGGAAGGAGTTCTTGCAGATTACATGTGCAAATTTATCATGTCTTATCATATCCCCATCACTGCAAGTTTCGTGTCGACTTTTACGCTCGTGGTATTGTCTGTGGAGAGATACCATGCTATTGTGAAGCCGATGAAGATAGGATTCAGACTAAGAGAAGACACCGTGAAATACGCTTATATTGCAGTGTGGGCAAGTGCTGCCGGACTGACATTGCCTTTGTATATCTACGGATATTACAAGGTTAAGCGATGCCACTTTTTTCCAAATTTATCCAAAACTTCCGAATCTATTTACAAGATGTCGGTCATGATCATAGTCGTCATTATTCCTTTCTTCGTCATTAGTTTCTGTTACTTTCGAATYGTTCGTGAGTTGTACTTCAAAAACAAAGTGGGACCACAAAACCTTGCCGTTCAAGAAGAAACCCGCAATAAGCGAAAACTGGTGCAGGTGTCGATCTCAGTCACAGTAGTGTTCATGGTCTGCTATTTTCCGTTGGCTTCGACATTGTTTTTATCGATTCATGATGTTCGGGGATTTGATGTGTCGATCGTTCAGAGGACAAGCATTRTTTACTTCATGGAATCGGTTTTCAACCCTATTTTGTACGTTTTTCAAAGTACAAACTTTCGAAAAGCTTTGAAAGAGATCTTACTGTGTAGAGGGAATAGCTAAGACCACTTCCATTTTAGCTTCAAGAAGGAARATTTCATTTCTGTTCCTCCGGGGGAACAAACGTCAAACATTTGCCGCCAAGCTTCAAAGTCGACTTAGATCAGTATTTACTGAATGTTTTATTCTTCGAAAATCATTTCAGGGAAACTAAACTAAGGTAGTTTTGGTAGTCAGTATACCTTTCGGTTATATATGGTTTTTAAGAGCTAGAGTAAAAACCCGGCCAAAGTTTAAYTGACCTCGACAGAAACGAATAGGAAACTGCATAGGTGCCGCTCTAAGAGAGGCTGTCTGATTGAATTTAGCCCTTATGGTTATTCCAGACACCTAGTACCTCCAACCATTTATTTTACATTATGACTTACAAATTCCTCGCGCGGTGATTGGTTATTTTTTATCATCAATAAGAGGACAGGCAGATAAAGCTGACGTCAACGAGCACGCGCTCTTTCCGTTGGTTGTTTTGATCACTAAAAATGAGAAGTTTTTATCGTTTTTGTTATTGTAAAAAACAAATAGACCAGTTTTTTATGTGTCTTTCCTCTTATTGACGATAAATTTCGTCATCGCATTTGTCAAAGTATATGCGGATCCACTTAACTACGCCTCGTGGATCCACACTACTTTGACAATGTGATGACGCAATTTATCGTCAATAACAGGACACATAAAAAACTGATGTCTATTTGTTAATTTTCTCTTATCATAAATAATTTGTAATTGTAAATGTAATTGTAATGGATATTATATTAATTTATTTTATTTCATCATATATGATTTGTAATTGTAATTGTAATGGATGGTACAAATAAACAGTTGGGGAAAAAAAAGCATTTGGGTAAAAGTTCGAAGCGAATATTTCTGTTCGGTTTCAAATGTAGACTAAACAACTAAAAGAACAAGTAGGCACAAAAGATTATAGGTATAATATAGGTATAATAGGTATAATAAAACAGATGGATRCACAACATAGAATAGACTTTTAAGCATCTTCCTACGCATACCACGCTCTTGAATATTATTTCTTTGGTGCTGAAAAAAAAATTAATGGCGTTCAATGAATGAAATTTTACTTTTTAAAGAATAGGAAAAGCCGCGAGTGACGTGGTCTGTTCTRCTGGTCTTCCTTTGTTTCTTCTGCGACTTTACTCATTGCACAATATATGCAACATATGAATGAGCGGTCATGATCATGCATACTATTAGTACGCTCAATTGAAGAATCGTTGTCGGGTTCAGAAACATAGAACATAAAAGCTGAGACCCAAATGAAACATGGGAAGTACGTTAATTAGATGCATGCTGTGACCGGCGACCCGTGGCATCATCCACTGTTTTTAATAGGTGTTTGGCATTCTAAACCGACTGCATGGATGGTGCAAATGAATAAATTATAATACAATWATGTCATTTCCCATGTGCCATTTCAGTTTCAGCTTTTATGTTCTATTCTCTACTTTCACATCCCCATAATGCCTTGCGTCTTTTGAGGGTAACCAATCAAAAAACTGTCCCAAATTGAAAGGTTTCTTAATTGAATTTATACTATACCTGCTTTTATCTGTACAATACTGATTATCAGTTTATTCCAAGTTATTTTTGTGTGTACAGATCATCAAGAGTTTTGGTCTTACAGAAAATGTATTGACTTACGAAAAAACGTTTAAAATTTACCTTAAACGTCTTCAAGCTTCTATCTTTTTCTGTTTTTTTACTTCTTCATTTTATTTTTGGATACCAAACAAGGTATTGTCAACATTGTCTG